TGCTTAATGTGGAAACGAGGCGCTCAGGCATAAAATTCTGTCCTGACTTAGAGTCAGAAAAGAGGAAACGTGTGTGTAAAGCTGTTTGTGATTAAGTTTGAAGAGTTTAAGCTCCAGATAACTGCCCTCAAGAGTCAAACAGCAAAGCTGCTGTGTGAACGTGTGTCCTGTATGTTCGCTGTGCTGATCATTTCCTTTCTGCATCCAGTGGACTGCATTGACCCCAGCTGCTCGGCCCATGGGGTGTGTATCCATGGCGAATGTCACTGTCAGCCAGGCTGGGGTGGAGCCAGCTGTGAAATTACCAAGGCCATGTGTCCAGACCAGTGTTCAGGCCACGGCACCTACAACGCAGAGACCAGCACATGTGCCTGCGACCAGAACTGGACCGGAGCTGACTGCTCTTTAGGTGTGTGCACCGTTTACCCGTCTATGTCCACATTTCATTTTCTGATTTCTCAGAATGAAACCTTCTGTTGAAGGTAAAACCAGCCTTTCAGTCCCTGAAACAATACTGTACAGATGTGTTATGAGGGGATTAAGAAGTGAAGTGACGGCATAAAGAATCCAAATCAGTTACAAATTAGAAACTATTTAAGACGACAGTGTTAGAGATGCCCTGAACGCTGCAGTGCTGAATGCAACCAAGAAGATTTAAGGTAAATAAAAAAGTTTCATTTTATTTTTACTCCAAAATACAGTCAGACTATCATTACTTAGTGTGGCCTGTACTACAGAAATCAGCATATTGCATGAACATGTTGTTAACTTACCACACACAGTAGTGTTATCTACAAAATGCTCACCGTCAACATTTTCCACATATTTTTCTCTACAATTGCAGCAAATGATGCAATAATATTCATACACACGACACACATGTTGCAATCACATTCAATTCATTTCTATTCAGTTTATTTATACAGCACCAGATTACAACAAGTCGCTTTTTCCTTTATCCAGAGTAGAATGATTGTGGTGCACAGCACACATCTGTAACGGCTTTAAAAACAAGAGCACGCACGGCATCCATCTCCAATGCACACAGGTATACAGAAGGTCAAAGATCACACATGTCCCTCGGGAAGTTGCACCCTGAGCAGACCCTTTTCTGTAGCTGTGCAGGAGCGGCTAGCATGCTGCGAAGCCAAGCTTCAGGAAAATAAAGACGTTCTGAGCTACATCAGTGCAAGAGTGAGATTTAAGCAACACTCAAACACACAAATGAACACAGTGACTTGTAGAAATCTGTACTGAGCTTTTCCTGAACCTCACTGTACGTAAAGACGTCATTTGGCGTGCACAGGGTGCAGTCCAGCATGCAGCTGCGGGTGAAATAAGAACAGAGTGCATCAGTGTGCGTGCACGTGCTTATATCGGTTCTGCAGTCGATGAAGTCATTTCTCTTTGTTGCTGTTACAGAGGTGTGTGAAGTAGACTGCGGCAGCCACGGAGTGTGTTACGGCGGCGTATGCCGCTGTGAGGAGGGCTGGACTGGAAGCGTGTGTGACCAAAAGGCCTGCCACCCTCTGTGCAGCAAGAACGGAGTTTGTAAAGACGGGAAGTGTGAGTGTGACCAGGGATGGACAGGGGAGCACTGCAACATTGGTGAGTGCATCACACACACACACACACACAACATAACTTAGCAACTACACGTAAATAATCCAGTTGGACGCAGCAGAGTAGCGCAGCCTTGAACAACACTACAGATATCTTACATGAGCTCTTATCAATGATTGGTCCCGGTGCCATTGTTAACCAGCCTATCACAGTTTCTCATCTTTGTGGTCGCTCTCAGGGAAAATTACGCTGCTGATAATGTGCATGCACATGTTTGTGTTAGTTTGTTGTTTTCCAGTAAAACATCTTAATCTGGGCTCAAAGCAGAACTTCCCCTTAGGATCGCTCGAGGTTCTGTTTGTAGCTGCTGTAGTTACCAGCACTGCAAGATGATCTGATCTGCTCAGCGCTGCAATTAATAACATCCAGAAAGATTATGGTCTCATAAATATCTATCGAGTACACAGTCACAGGAAGTTATCAGTGTAGTCCTCAAGAAGAACTGAAGCAACATTTCATCTGCATCCATGATCAAAAATAAACAGACATCCAGAGATCGTCTCAGAGAAAACACGAATGCAGACCGGGGCATGTGCTCAGTGACTTGAGCAAGTCGTGAAGACGGTTGTTTTTTATTGGACATAAGCGTGACTGAGCCAGTCGACTAAAGAGCAGCTGTTGCTGTATCGCTGCTGCAGACGCTGGATTATGACAGTGATGATCAGTTAAGCGTTCCTTGCATCGTATGTTGATCCATGTTAGAAACACAGAGACGTGAAGAATTGCTTCCAGATTCATGAAACTGGCTGATTTCATATCTCAGCCTGGAATCAGCACACCTGACATCGTAACCTATCAATACAAAATAACTGGATTGGTCCTGATAAGCGTTGTTTGCTCTTCGTGGTCACTTAGATCTTTTCTTTGCTTCCTCCTGTCTGAACTAAATCCTCTTTATTTATGTCTCTTTTCTTCCTTCTTCCTTCTTAAAGCTCACAATCCGGATATTAGAGTTAAAGGTACTGTACACTGTTTTAAAAAATCTTCTTATCACTGTTATCACGAGTTTTTTTTCTTCTCCTCTCTTCATCCTTTGCTTTTTTTGTTAAAGTTGAACTTTAGCTGCGTCAGCGATAGTTTATTGATGTATTTACTGGATGCTACAGCTGG